CGAAGAACTGACTCATTCGAGACATATATTGTTCTTTTAGGTCATTCGGAGGTGGAGAACCGTTTTTAAAGTAAAACTGGAGGCAATTTCAAGCACCAACACGATAAGTTATCGCAACTTCAGGATAGAAACCTGAGGTATAAATTCTTTCACAGGTTCGCTAACTAATTTCAGTGGGGAACCCTAGTTTGAAGGACCGGGCCTTTGTTTTGTTATACGAGGGGAACCGGATGTACTTCTTGGTGAAAAGGGATGAGCACTTCCAGCAGGAAACATGGAAGGTAAAGAATGGCTTGAGGGAGACCCTCCACTAGAAGCATTTCCAGGAACATTCAAGGGATTGCCCGCCTTTGCATCATTAACCAATGATGTCACCTAGCAAAGGAACAAGAATTAAACAACAGCGCACTCGTAGGCTTAGAGGACTATTTAATACATCACACAAATTCCATATTCTCTGTTTCAAAATACCATATTTAAAACCAAAACATTGCTTAATCATCCAAAATTAGACAAGAGCAATTAATGGATATTGTTAAGATCATTAAGGCTCCAACTTAAAATCGACTTGCAGAGCAAACTAAACTCAACAAAGGTGGAATAAGACTACTTAACAAAGACCGCGGGAAAATTAACAACCGGAAGTCACCATATTCTTTCTGCATTGATTAATCCATTAAATATCTTAGTAATGCGGAATCCAGATCTATGTACGCATGACGAACAGATTAAAACATGTAACAGGCTCAAAATATGCATCAAATCATCATAAGAAATGTCTTTTAATACCATCAAATAACCTAGCAATGATCTAACTAGTACAATGTTAAGGCAATAACAATCCATCATTTTCAATTCAAGTATCAAAACAAAAATAACAAAAATCAAGCATAACAAAGATCCGAAATTAGAAAACGAAGAGTATACCAGCTCGTTAGCATCGGGAAGCGAAAGCAACTGCTCGAAAAGCTTTTGAGTGAATTCAGGATATGATTTGAGAGCGAAATGAGACATCTCCTGGAGATGCAATAGCTCCGCATCCAAACACGTTACATCGCCAACAACAACTGCCTCCATTTTCTTTTCTTCGCATAAGCAAAACACAGCTCGACCAAAGTTTTCCGCGTAGATCGAATGAAAATCAGCTTCCAAAAATCAATTCCTTTGAAAACACAGCATATTTAAGCTTAGGAAAATAGCTTTATTAATTAATAAAAATATACCTCACATTAACTAGTAAAGACGGAATATTGCCATTGGTCTAGTAAACTGCTCAGCTACGCTGGGAGACTGGAGCTCATCCGAAATGTGCTAGCTTCAATTACCAATTTTTGGTGCAGACAACTCTTTCTGCCTAATTCAATCTTGAAAAAAATTGAGCAGCTTTGTTCCCGCTTCTTTTGGAAAGGTTCTGACAAATCAGCAACAGGAACACGTGTGAGTTGGAGCAAAATTTGCTCCTTGAAATCGGAAGGTGGTCTTGGGATCAAAGACATTAAGACCTGAAATAAAGCTTGCATGTTAGCCTTAATCAAACAAATTCTTGTTGGTGAAGGCTCACTTTGGGTAGCTTGGCTTCATAATTATGTTTTTAAGAACAAAGATTTCTGGTCTATTGAAGCTAAGCTCAACACAAGCTGGTGTCTCAGAAGACTTCTTAAATTGAGACCAGAGGTGCAAAATTTCCTTCATCCGGGTCCTATCAATGCAAGCTCGATATGGGACTCTATTCGGTCTAAAAATCAGAAGGTCCCTTGGCAAAAACTCGTTTGGTTTTCCCTGCACATTCCAAAACATAGTAAGATAACCTGGATGGCTCTACTTGACAGACTACCCACCAAGGATCGTGTTCACCGAATCGGTCTTACTAATGACTGTTCTTGTCTTTTATGTAACTCTGATGTGGAAACTAGGGATCACCTTTTCTTATTATGCCCTACTGTTGTTTTTCTATAGGAACGCATCTTCTCTTTTTCTGGTTTGCATTTTACAGGATACCTTTGGGAAGAATTCTTGGAAATGGAGAGCTCAAACTGGAAAGGAAAATCATTGTTATCTACTATTATGAGGATTGCTTTGAATGCATTGGTTTACTTGCTCTGGGAAGAAAGGAACAAAAGAGTGTACCAAGGTCGAACTAGACCTGTAAATGAACTTCTAAAGAATATCAAATCTATTGTTTGTCTTCAACTTAATGGCAGGAAATACAATAGAGTAGATAATGCGAATCTTACCCTCTACAAACATTGGGGTATCGATGACCACTGATTTTTGTATTGTAAATGTTTTGTATTGAACCCTGATTGTATTCGTAGCTTTTTCTATTTGGATAATAAAATTCTGACTTATCCAAAAAAAAGACGGAATATTTCACCTTAACGAAGGAAACCCACAAAATAAAATCCACTATATAGCTCAAATATATATATAAAAACAACCCCTAATAAAAATTAAATAAATCCCAAAAAAATGAAAGCTATTTACAAAAATTTCTTTACCATTTCTCAGGTAGATGCTGGATTCTTCGGTGTTGATATTAAACAGGCCACTTTTGAGGAAACTAAAAGCCAAGATTTGAGGAAACTCAGGAATAATGAACATGCTTTCGGTTCAACAAGCTATTTTCTCAGCAATCTCTCATATTTTCTCATCAATCAAACACAAAACCAGCTAACAGATTAAAACGCACCATTTAAAGTCTGCTACCGAGAACCATTGGTCGATCATTGAGCAGCTACGGAAGCTATGAAAGCTTGAAGTATAAAAATGGCAACAGAAAGGGGAAGAAACGAAAACAACAAGATGAAATTAAGCACAATAAATACAAATCTTCCCGTTTTCCTTTATCATTAAATAAGCGAGTGAGAAGAAATGGGTAAAAACCATATTGAAGGAGATGACGGTGGAGAGGTCGCTGTGAGAGAGAAGGTTTGAGAGAAACTTGGAGGTGCCACACGTTGTTTGATGATGATTGAAATGAAAAAGGGTTAAAGGGGCGTGAAATTTAGAAATTGTAAACTTGTGGCGTTTGAAAAAAACAAACACCACTACAATACGAATCTTTAGCGACGTTTGTATAAAAACGCCACTAAAGTATGAATCTTTAGCGGCATTTGTATAAAAATGCTACTAAAATATGAGTCTTTAGCTGCATTTGTAAACATAAACGCCACTAAAGTACGTGTCTTTAGCGGCATTAGTATACAAACGCCATGAAAATACAAGTCTTTAGCCGCGTTTGTATACAAACACCACTAAAGTATGATTCTTTAGCAGTGTTTTTGCTTAAAACGCCGCTAATTTTATTATTTTGTGGCGTTTGTTCAAAAAACGATGCTAAAAATACCGTTATAAACCTATTTTGTTGTAGTGTAAATAATATCAGATATTTGTATCCTAACGTTGTAAATAAAGTAAATTAGGTTTAGAGGGTCATATTATGATAAATTTTTACAATTATTAATCTATATTAATCAGTCAATAAATAAGATAGACGATAATTAAAACAAAAACTAAGATGCTATTGAGGAGGGTGATTTTTGGTTGAAATAATAGTTGTTAATTATATTACCCCAAAAGCAACGACTTTTTGGGGTCAAATCGATGACTAATTATACATCTTTTGCTGGCATATTGAACAGAGCTGTGTTGTTCACAGTTTTTTCACTGCACATTAAAGTTGGAAACATTATGTATAGTGAAAAAGGGCACAAACGTGTCAAGCTCACTTGTAATGGACAAACAGAAAATAATTGATACAAATTAATTAATAATTAAGAATGGAGCCACTCAATTTAATCTAATAATTAAAGCAGATTTAATATTGGTTTCATAAGTATATATACACATAATATACTTAATTAACCAGAAACTCCAAGTTTAAGAAATAAATTAAGAAAAAGCACACATCTATACATGAACCCTAATTTCCTTTCCTTCTTAAGTGGTAATTTATTGATTATAAAATCCCCAAATAAGGTTGTAAATTAGAGGATACAAAGTATAAAAAGTTTATGGGTGGATGAAGCTTCAAATTTTTGAAGTAAAAAATCAATGAAGTCTATACATATCGTATCACGATATTATTAATTTATACTTTAAAATTTTTTAATTAATTTTAAGAATCTTTCTTTAGAATTTTTCTTTAAAAATTTCACACGAAAGACTTTATTGATCCAATTTCTAGATTTGATTTCTTAATTTGAGGGTTCAAGGTGCAAAATTATTAGGGATTTAATATTTTGTTTTCAAAAGTTTGAGTACTGCATGCATCCGACAACAAAAGACAATACAACACCCGACAAATTTTTCATAATTATGAAGAACCCTAATTTTATAACTAGGGTTTGGTAACATGTTTAATTTACAGCTTTTTGGTGCTAAATAGATTGCATTTGATCTTCAAACGTAAAACACTGAACAATTACATTCACTATTACTACTTTTGATCATCATTTAGGCTAAAGGTTGTTTTCATGCTCACAAAACAATGACAACGATTAAGCATCATACGCCTATGCGTTCTCACGTGAAAAATTTCTTTCACAAGGGCTGCTATTAGCAGTCGATTCAATGTATTAAAATAGAGATATTCTTTTTTAATATATTCAATACGATGTATATATATATAGTACTTCCACTCTTTCCCGTCTATAAATTAAAGGATATTGAACACTTAAAAATACTTAATCTCGCGTCTTTTGAACGGTTAAGCGTTAAAAGAAGAAAGATGAAGATCATTGGAAATTTTCCTTCGAATGATTAAGCGTTAAAAGATGAAAGATGAAGATCATTAGAAATTTCCTTCACTATATCTCATAGCATGTCGAATTTGCCTTGTCAATTACATAAGAGAAAATTTCAAACAGTTTCCATGATCAACTTGCTCAAGTTGTATATTTATATATATGAATTGCAAGGCTCAAACTGCTTATCTTGAACTTACAATTTCTAGGAAAAGCATAGCATTTTCAATCGAGTTGACGGAGGGGGGGGGGGAATTACTGATTACAATGACAATCTGAGCTCCAAATCCAGCTCTTGTGTGTCACTCGATTCCGAATTTTGACTGCTCGATCCCAACGAGCTGCTCCGGTGTTTCTTGCTCCCTGAACGTGAATCCTATAACAAAAAATGCAGGCAGAAATCAACTAAAAAAAACATAATGTCGACATGCCATGGAACAAGGATGTTTCATGAGTGTGTGTGTGTATAAACAAACCTCATCATGTAGGTTTAGAAGTTGTCTGGTCATGTTTGGTTGTGCAAAATGTTGGTTCTCTAGGATGCCACTGCTGGTGTTCCAACTGTAATTGCAAAAATGATTTGAAACATTAGTAAACTACAAGCAAATCAAAATCAAAGCTTTTTTAGATGGGAAATTGATCAGATTGTGTACCTTGCTGTAGTACTCGGTTGGGAATCACCATATCTGAAGTTTCCTCTTTGATCATACTCGCCAAGCCCCATCTGTAAAATAATATATCATACTACTGAATTGTGGTTACGATATATGTTGCGGATGCGTTTGCGATATTACGGTAACATTAAAACTATCATGTATGATAGTGCTGGCTATGACAATGGAATAATGAAGATTTAGTTCAATGGGGAGACTAGGGTTAGCAAAAAGAAGTAAAATCATAAGCTACCACAGCATTAGGGTAACGCAATTAGCTACGGTATATGATAGATGCGGTTCTGGTATCGCGACAACCTTGAAAAACGTAACGTATAGTACGACCGTTATGCTAAGTTGTGATCGTATTTTGCAGTGACACACAGAAACTCAATGCACTCAATTTTTCGATTGAAAATCAGAAAGGAACTGTTTAGAGACAACAAAGAGACCGAGTTCCGATTCGCATACCATCGTGTTGGGGCACTGGAAACCGTAAGAAGCTGCCGGAGACGTCGATGAATAAGAAAAAGAAGACGACGACGCCATTGATGAATAACCCATCCGCTGCACTCCCATGTTTTCTTCCTGCATGTACAGTAGTCACAAAACCATTCCCATCAAATCTAAACCCCGAAAAAGGCACAAACCCCAAATCATTTTCATCACTGAAAATTCCAAATTACCTGGCTGAAATTGGCAGGGTAAGGTCCGTAATGAAGAGGAAGGTTATTATTATAACCAGAAGAAGCCATTTGTTCGTGTAATCTGATCTTTTCCAACTGAGCAACACCGAGCCCTCTCTGGGGTTGCTTAGGCTTGTCCGAGTTGCCCTTCTTTCCTTTCCTCGAAGACGACGAGCCGTGATAAGTGCTTTCCATTTTTTGCTTTGAAAATCCCAAGCTTTTTGTGCGTTTTTGCAGCGAAGAGAAAGAGAGAGACGATGACGGTGAAGAATCAAGCGATGTGGGCACTGGCACTGCCCCTCTTTTTAAGGTGTTTGCAAAGCCAAGTAATTATTGCATCGCTGGACCAGATTTTGTAGAGATTTATCAGAGATTATATAATCTGTGTATACATATATATATATATATATACACAGAGAGAGAGAGATTTTATGCCCCTTTTTATTTCCACTACCTTTTCTTTTCAAGTACTGTCTCTTTCTCTCTGACTTGTTTATACTACTGCAAAATATTAAAAACATTTAAAGCTTTCACCATTTTATTTAACCTACGGTCTAATTATGTGTCAAGTCCATGTATTCTTTTATGTATCAAATTTTGGATAAAGTATATCGAGATTCATGAACTAAGTCAAAATGATATTTTTTAATAATAAAATTTGTAAATGTTATAAAGTGGTCATTAAAATAAACGAATTGCTACAAAATGGCCCTTATGATTTTATAAATAGTAATTAATTTCAACGAATTTAATGATCATTTTATAATATTTTAATAAATTTAATGATCATTTTATCATTGAGATTACTTGATGGGTTCTGATTTATGTTAATTTAAATATGTATTAGCTTTAATTTTTAAATCATACTTTTGAATATTAAACTATCATGAATTTAAATTTAAAGAAAGAACCATTAATGGTGTTATCGATTGGATTCTAATTTTCAAACTAGAAAACTAAAAATAAAAATAAGGGTAAATTACATGTGTAGTACATAAACTATCAGTTTTTTTTCTTTTAATAACTAAAAACTTTCATTTGTTTTCAAAATCATACCTAACATTTAGTTTTTATATCATTTTAGTATCTCACCGCTAAAAACTTAATGGGCAGGCTCGTCGACCGATGAAGCCCAAACTTTCCAGCTCACATCTTTTCGAATCCAGAAAGCGATTATGGTCTCCATATCACTGGAAAATATCTCAATCTCCCCAAATTGATGATAGACACTTCAATTTCTTCATCCTCTGATCTTCATGGTTCACCGTCAGATGAACCTAAAATTATACTATGTTAGTTGACTCGTCATTCTCTTGTAGTCCACTATTCGAATTGGTCGTCTGTCCACGGGAGCTATGTCATGTTAGTATGTCCGTTACGTTTTTAACGGCAGGGTACTAAAATGAATCAAAAATTGAACGTTGTGTATGATTTTGAAAATAATGAAAGTTTAAATACTAAAATGGATCAAAAGTGATAGTTTAGGTACTAAACGCATAGTTTACCCTAAAAACAAAGGGGTTAAATTTTAAAGGCTCTAATGGTACAAGGATTAGAGACAAAATTAAAACTGGATTTATTTGCGGTTAAATTCAAGGTATTCGTTTGAATATTTATTCATTCATTGTTCATGTAGTCATTATAGTTTATATATATATATATATATATATGTATCTTATATTGCTTTGGGAATTCCAAACTTGATTTTAAATATATATATATATATATATATATATATATAATATTTTCTAATTAAGTAAAACACAAGTATTCAATCTAAAAATATTATATATTTTCATTTAATTATTAATATTTAATTATTAACTTTTCGATCGATAATCTAGATCAGATACTCAAAGATATATTACAAGAATAAATCTATTACAATTAATATTTAATAAAGGTTTAGACCTTAAGAGAGACAATCTATAGATTCCGAAAATCATGTTCGCAGCTTAACGGGGATTCCATAATTACGCAAAATTTAGAGATAAAATATTTTCTAGGGATTATATCCAAATTTGTACTGATCGATAAATTAAATTTTATTTTATTAAAAATACCTTTCATTGTAATTAATATGTCTTAATTATGACGAAGTAGAATAAGTTTTTTTTTATCATTCTGATCTGATTTTTTTTTTTGTATCAATTTTATTTTAATATGTTTTGTATGATTGATCTTATTACTATTACAGTTTCTTAAAAGTTATATATTCACACATATTTAACTAATCAGTAATCTATAATTTAGATATTTAAAGAATCACATCATAATTTAAATGTAATATAAAAGTTTTTAATAAATTATGATTAAAATATACATATGATTAAAGGGTGATTTTTTTTTTGGAAAAAAATGAACATACAATATGAGTTTGATCTAAAACCTAATTAATTACAATCTAAAACTATAAAATTTAGGATGAGAGGGACATTTCAGTGGAGGATTTTGTTGGCTGATTAATCTAGATCGAATATTATAAAGATTTATTATGAAAAGGGTTCTCTCAATTCATTTGCAACATCAAAATTCAAACGTCGATCTTACTTAAGAAATCTAATACCTTGTCCACCGGTGACGGTTAGGTTAAATTCTTAGGCATATATTTTTGTCTCCTATTTTGCTTATTGAACTTTAAAAATTTTCAGTTTTCTCACTGGACTTAATACATTAGGTTTTTTTGCTCACTGAATTTTACTCTCTCTCATATTTTGATCACTTCGTCGTTAAATAGTTAACAACGTTTAAAACAACGTCGTTTTAAAAAAAAGAATTTCACCAAAACTACGTCGTTTTGCATCTATATAACCGCTCATTTTAATGTTGTTAACTATTTAACGACCGAGTGACAAAAAAACCCAATGCATTAAGTTCAGTGAAGAAATTGAAAATATTTAAAGTACAATGAATGAAATAGGAGAGAATAAAGTTCAAATACCGAATTTGTAATTTACCCTTTTTTTTCTTTAAGAATTATTATATGGAAAATTTAATTTAAATTGGATGAAAAGATTGTAATTAGGTTCAAATCCCTCGTTTCTTTAATCGTGAAATGAATCTATTTATTTAAAGATTTTCGAATATATATTAAAAAGGAATCGACTGATTCAAGGTGAGTGTTCTTTAATTAATGGATCTATTAATTAATTACAGGAATCTTGAATATGAAGATGCTATAACATCCCTTCAAAAATATAAAAAACCAATTCATAGAACTAGGAGTGTATCATTGTATGTGTATATTTATTGGCAATGAAATTTTTGAAATAATATATGCTCTTAACATATAACAATTAAATAAATATTAAATTTTAAATTGGGTTATCTCTGTAGTACTCGATCTAAATTAATCTATCAATAGATCAGATACCGATAATTATACAAACAAAATAAATATAAAATTTGATTCCTGGGTTTTACAATATTAATTTTTTTTATTAAGCTAAGGTGATAACAAAGTAGTATTTGTTTTAAATACTCTCAACTATTTGACAATGAACGCTTAATCACCTTGTTGCAACAACTGGTGCTCGAACCCATAACATCTAGAAAAAAATAACAATTCATTTAACCACCGAAGTAAGTTAATTTGTGCGGGTTTATAATATTAGTTAAAAGTCAAAATAGAGGAGCCGATATATACCATGGGTCAAATTATGAAAGTAATGCAAAAGTTTGTTGTTTATTTTAATATCTTAAAATTTTCAAATCACTTCAATTAATATTTTTATTTAAGTCCAAGTCCCAGTTCCTAAATCATATGATTCAACTGAAAGAGATAAAATAATACTAATATTTTCTATTCTTTAAACAATGTGACTTATCACTGGCCGTGGATTCACTAGATTTCGCCACGTGTAATACTCAATGCTGAGTCACGAATATTCTCCCAAACACCAACTAGTCATTGATTATTACAAAAACTATATAATAAAAATAATAATAATAAATAACAAAAATAATAATAAAGGATGAAATGTAGTGGAGAGATGCGTAGAGAAAATGGTATCTACAATAGATTTGAAGGCACATGCAATAGCCTTATATTTATATCATTCATATTCGTTTTATAATTTATATTTAATATTCATGAAATTCTCTAGAAAATGTACTCTTTAACATATATTTTTCAATACTAATATTATCATAACTTTTAGTAATATTATAATAAATATACATAAACAATGAGCACGAATCAAACAACCTAAGTGATAAAGGAATTATTATTATTCCTTGAGGTCCCGATTCGAGAACCAAGAATGTCAAAGGTGTATTGAACGTTCAATGTGAAATGATTGAGAATTATCCTTAAACAGATATTGCCTTGTACTTACCCCGGATTAATTGGGGGGAAATTAAATGGTCTATTGTCTCTTCCAAATT